AAAAAAAAAAAAAAATCAAATGGAATGAAAGTATCAAGCAAGATAAATAGTCTAAAAAGTATAGGAGTGGTCCTTTCTGGTCTCTTCAGCGGGCTTTGGCTGCAGGCGGCGCGATTTCCTCTACAGGTTTGTGGGCTCGAGCTCCTGTGCGGTCCCTCCGCGGCCGGCACAAGCCGAATTCAAGAGAAGATGCGGGGTCGGAACAGCGCTATCGCCGCCGGCGTGTTCCGGGCCCTCTTCATCGGCTACTGCATCTACTTCGACCGCGAGAGGCGAAATGATCCCAACTTCAAGAATAGGCTTCGTGAACGAAGAAAGAAACAGAAGCTTGCCAAGGAGAGAGCTGGGCTTTCCAAGTTACCTGACCCTAAAGATGCTGAACCTGTTCAAAAATTCTTCCTTGAAGAAATACAGCTTGGTGAAGAGTTTCGAGCTCAAGGTAAGTATGAGAAAGGTGAGGACCATCTGACAAATGCAGCTGCTGTGTGTGGACAGCCACAGCAATTGCTGCAGGTGTTACAGCAAACTCTTCCACCACCAGTGTTCTGGATGCTTCTCACTAAGCTCCCAACAATTAGTCAGAGAATTCTAAGTGCTCAGAGCTTGGCTGAAGATGATGTGGAATGAAAAACAAATCTGAACATAATAAAATTTCAAAAAGATTTTAAAAATTCTTAGCTTGGAAGTTGAACAGCTGTGGGGGAATAAGGGCAAATATGATTGTTTATGGACTGTCCTACACTGAAATCTACCAAAGTTAATGTTTACTTTGTGTAGATCCATTTGTCTTTTTATTTTTCCCAGTGAAAAGAGTATTTTAGTAGAGCGCCTTTCATTTTATAAAAACACTGTTACCAAAATACAGATTTTGTTTATTCCTTAAAACTACAGTTAAAATGTACATACAACATTAAAAACCCCAGTGCTTAGTTTTAAAAGATAAGCAAAAGGGCTGGAATTGTAGTTGAGTATAGAGCCCTTGTCTAATGTGTATGAGGCCTTAGGTTTGGCCCCAGCACCATGAAAAAGGAAAACAGTGAAAAAGTGTAGGAGAGTGGTGAATGCATATTTTTAAAGCTAGCACATTTTCTTATTGAGAGTTAGATATTGATTGTGGTTTGTTTTTTTTTTTGGAACTGGGGATCGAACTCGGGTCCTTGTGCTTGCGCAGCAGGCGGCGAATTGATTGTGTTTTTGAATAGAGTATTAAAATGAGAGATCCTTTCTTTCCATTTATTCTTAAAGATATGTGGTGTGCTGCTGTGCTGTACTAATGGCTCCACCTCTTCCCTCATTATCAGTCTTGAGCTATTTTATTTAAATCAACGTACTTAATGTTTCTGGGTATTTATATCCTTGTATTTTAAGTATAACGACAAATAGTACTGGGAATTAGATAACATGTACCTAATCTCCCCATATGAGCTTCACTAGTTCATGTCTGCTCACTCTCCTCATTTATAAAACCAGGGAATCACTGATGATTTTTGAGGTGTTTCTTTCAGCTTCTCATTCTTTTGGTTCTGTTCAGCATCTTCACATTCACCTTTGCCTGAGGAATGTATTTGGGCAACCTGGACTTGCATTTTTTTAATGTTCTGAATTTTGCATGCTTGCCTGACTTAGTATTTCTGAATTGATCTTTTGATTTTCACTGGAATTAGACAGTTCTGTAACTACGTAAATTTGAAAATTTACCTTTAAGGTAGCTGGATCATCTGCCTATAAAAATGTTTGTCCCCTTTTTGCTTTCATCTTCTTATATTTCAGATTGATTAATATATCTCATACAATGACAGTGGGAGATAATACTAACTAAAGACTTAAACAGAGTTTGTGGGATCATTTACTCTCACAGTGAGTATTATCTGCCATTTCACAATTGAGTCAGTTTCAGAATCGAGAATAAAGATCTTTGGTACTTAAAGGCAAAAAAAAAAAAGTATAGGAGCAATCAACAGAAAAAGAACACAACGACAGGAATAAATTAATACTTCTCAGTAATAACTTTCCATGAAAACAGCCTCAACTCCTCAGTTAAAAGACACATATTGGCAGATTCCATCAAAAAGCAAGCCAACAGTCTACTGCATTCAAGAAACTCATCTAATTAAAAAAGATCATAGACTAAAAATCAAATGGGTTCAAACCCAGCCTCTGCTGTGTGCTTCTGTAAAGTGCTCCTCCCCACTGTGCCTCAGTTTCTACCTTGGAAAAGCACAGATAAGCAGATGCCACAGAGCTGCTGAAGATGACAGGCGCACACACAAAACAGCACTTTTTGTGTCTGGAATGTACCAGTGTGTGCTGCGTTGGCTGTCACTGCCATTGTCACTCTGCTGACATCCAAAGCCCCACCCTCGTGCTCACACTTGTCCTTCCGATGCCTCCCCCGGCAAGTGCGGGTCCCTACTGTGGCGCCTACCTGAAGGTGATGGCGTAGGAGTCCTCCAGCCCTTCATGCTTCTTTTCCCGCTTCCGGATGAGGAAGGCTCCATCTCGGGGAATCCGCATCAGCATGTCCTCCGCCTCTCCACGGCTCAGCCCGTCATAGTACCACCTGCACCCGGGCAGGAAAACAGCCAGGTAAGAGCCCTCGAGGCTGTCAGGAGCCACTGCAGGACACAGAACAGCGGGCTCCAGGGATAACTGGGACTGGGTCCTGGAAACAGCCATAGAAGCCAGCTGCAGACCTGCCCAGCTGTGAGCACCTCCAGAGACGGTGGTTTCTGAAAAGAACACTAGGAGACCAAGTGGATCTGGGCAGAGCGCAGAGAATAAATCTCCACACCCTCACCCACCTGTGCCACCAGTGCCTTGCAGGCCACCTCTGAAGGGCCTATTTCCACCTCTGGGGAAATGGAGGTGAACACAGGCAAGTTTAGGAGGCATTTTTTGTTGTTGTGTTTAGTTATTAAAACATAAAATAGCACATTTTTACCAATCCATATGAAAATATTTAAAAAGTTGCTGCAAGTCATTTGGCTTCGTTCAAAATATAAATTTTAGTGATCTGCTTAAAAATTCTTCCTTCATTTCCACAATGTATTGACCTTCTGCAAAGCATAACTTGGCTCACTTTTCTGCATAAAGAAATAAAGGGAATGGGCCGGGGATTTAGCTCAGTGGTTTTGCTGCCTGCCTAGCAAGCTCAAGGACCCGAGTTTGATCCCTGGTACCAAAAAGAAAAAAGAAAAAAGAAAAAAAGGGAATACTCTTGCCATCATTTTCTTTTCATTTTTCTCCATCAACTAAATAGGAAAGGGCTTGGATAAGCAGTAAGATATCACAGGGCCAATACTAAACTCTGAATCTCAAGCATGAGACCTCGGGATCGTGAACACAAAGCCAGAAGGGAAGGAGGGAGGAAAGGAAAGGAGAAAAGGAAAGAGAAAGGCAGGCAAAGCTAATGGAGAGCAAGAATCTGCCGAGGGGCCACCCAGGACCTCTGAGCCTCTGGTGGGCCAGGGCCAGGGACAAGGGGACAGGGTTGTGACCGTGTGGGTGTCTGCCTCCCGCCCAGCCCAGGGACGTACGGCTTGGACTCATGTGGGTTGGGGTTCGGCACCGGGTCGGTCAGCCGCAGCTCAAACTCGGCACAGCGCAGGTGCGACTCTCGGTAGTGCTGGATGAGGTCGTAGATGCTGCTGAACTTGAGGTTGTCGGTCAGGTAGTACTTCATGGCGCCATTCTCCAAGGTGGAGCGGATCAGGCAGTGCTGCACACGGCCCGACCGCCTGCAGGACAGGGCCGCTGTCAGAGATGAGGCCGGGTGCAGCCAGGTGGACACCACCCCCCGCCACCCGCCTCCCCATGGCCGCTCCAGGGCAGGAGGGCGTTACCAGAAGGACAGGGTGTAGGCGTTGGGGTGGCTCTCGCTCTCCCGCACCAGGAAGGTGCCGTCCTTGGCACCCGCCTCGGCACAGTACTCCTGCAGCAGCTTCTCCGCGTTCGTCCTCTTCTCCATCTTCTTGTGGAACCATTTCTCCCTCAAATGCAGCTCCATGGGTGGAAGGTCCTGGGCCACGGACAGAAAGGGGGCTTCTGAGAGCTCCTGCTGCCTCCCCTGCCCACCACCTTCTCCGGACAGCTACTGCTGTGGGGGCCTCCTGGCGTCCTGAGACTCCCTGACCTCCATGGTCGATGGCGCTGGAGAGAGCATCCACGTGACCCTGTCCTCCCCAGGTTACACAGGCCACAATCTAAGGCCAATCAGGCCCTGCAGGAAAGAGCCTGGACTCTTACTGGCTAGGTACCAAGAGCAGCCAGCCAATCAGAGAAGAGCCAGCCAGGCCCTGATACCCAAAGAGGTAGCTGTTAGGGCTGAGGATCCCCATGCCAGCCTTAGGACAGGAGGAGCTGAACAGGAGGTCTGAGGCCCTGAGGACTACCCTAGCTCAAAGAGGCAAGAGCAGCTGGTCCCACTTACCTGGGACAGTTCCTCCTCCGCGGCCTGCTCAATGTCGTCACTGAAGGACAGCTTGGCGTCAGCAATGGCGCAGTAGTGCCGAGTCCACTTCTAGAGAGCAAAGCTGCATTAGTCTCCCCCAAAGTCAGCCACATCACCTCAGGCTGGGGGATCCCGCAGGGCATCACCCCAGCATGCACTGGGGATTCCCCTTTCCCAGCTTCATGCACTTAGCGATTTCATGGAATTTGTTCCCTTTTGAGAGATATTTTTAAAACACTTAGTTTTTGGCTCCTTTTGTTATTTGGGGACTTTTAAAATCAGTGTGTCTAGGAACAAACATGACCTAATTCTGAATTTCCACTGCATATTTAATTTGCAGCCCTTTATGAAGGATGGGCTTATTTGGGGCACTCTCCTAACTATCTTTTCCTATTTCATCTGCTTTTTAAAAGATTTTCTACCGCTTGATCTCACAGATGCTTTCTGAAACATTTAATTATGACCCATTTGCTTAAATATTAATCATTTTTGCATATATTTTATTGTTATATTTTTTATTCAGGATGTACAGACATGTAAAAATGTACTCAAATGGATTAGCATGTTAGGCTAAGGGATATGAGAAGGCACTAGAGCTTGAAATGCCTTTCTCTCATCAGAAACGAAGATTTCCGGTGGAGCTCTACCAGAGTGGGAGTCGCTAGTGACCTGGGACCACTAAGTGATGTGGCATTCTGGACCGGAAAAATGACATTAGCAAACAAAGTGGTAAAATGGAAATAAGGTCTGCAAATCAGCTAGTGGGATTGTACCGTTGTTCATTTCCTGATGACGGTAATTACGCCGTGGTTACCCAGGATGCTCCTACTGGGGAAGCGGGCTGGAGCAGGTATGGGACTTTCCCATACTATTGTGTGAGTGTGAACACATGCTACAGTGCATAAAAATTATTTCAAAGTCAAACATTAAGAATGCAAAAGAGAAAGGTTAATTATGACGCAGTCGCTTGGCTCACTGGGCAGCGCCAGGACGTTCACAGGCTCTGCGGCAGGGTCTAGGAAGGGGCGGGAGGTCAGCGTCTACAGCGGGTGTGGGGAGGGACCCAGGCCCACCTGGTCGATGGAGTCCCACATGTACAGTTCACCCTGTTGCTTGTGCTCATCTTTCTTGTCCTCCACGTTCACATCGACATCACCTCGGGGGCCCAGCTTCTTATGCTAAGAAAAAAAGTGCACATGGTCTCCCTTGAAACCAGGTTTCAGGGTCTTCAAGCCAGCAAGAGCGCATGCACATCCACCAGCCCACAACGTCCATCTGCGCTTCATACCTCAGCCCCTTGCACTGTCCCGCCTTTTGTGGGCTCTGGCCCTGGGTCCCCTCCTCGGAGGAGGAGGAGGAGTTCCCCCAGCCCTCCCTGCAACAGCCCAGCTCACTTCCGGCCCAGCTGCTCTCTGCCTCCTCCCACCCTGCTTTCCCTATCTCTGTGTCTTCTGTCTTCTCTGCTAGGAAGGAAGGCACTTTGCCTTTCTCCTGTTGAGTGGCTGTGCTAGGGCAGCGCCTAGCAGACAGTGAGTGCTCAGCAAGTAGGACGCAGGCCGGGCAGACACACGGGGCTCAGCACAGCAGCCTGCTCTGCCCTGAGCTGTGTGACCCTGGGCAGGCACTGCGCTTTCTGAGCCTCACACGCCTCACCTGCACAAGCAAGGCAGTGATGACAACGCTCACCCAGGTGAGAGCTGACGTTGCCTCAGCTAGCACTGACGAGCTGGGGTCACGGAGCGCTAGGGAAGGAACTCGGGCTTGGGAGTGGGACCTGGGCTCCAATTCAGAGCCGAGGGACAGTCTGAGTCTCAGTAACCTATCATGTGAAGAGGGGAAATGACAGCCCCCACCGCAGCCCGTGAACCAGGGTGTGAAAAGTAAGGGCAAAGAGGGCAACAGGCCCCCTACGTCCTGTCGGGCATGGCCCCGTGGCACACGCAGGGGACACAGTCCTCAGAGGCAGACACCGTGACCTCAGCTGAGCTGTTTGACCTCCGACCCTCAGCGTCCACATCTGGGAAGTGGCCTGGGGTGCGGTGGGGCTGTCGTCTTGCAGTCTGAGGACACTGACATTCACACCTATGCCTGTCCAGTGCGTGTGCAGCACACGGTGACTCTGACACCTGCCAATGCCACCCTCTGCTGGAATGGAAACAGGAGTTGCAGGGGACCAGGAATGGGGCACCAGGAGCTCTAACGGGGCCTCAGGACTTCACACCTCTGAGTGAGAGCGGAAGGCACTGCTAACTGAAACGGGAAGCCGAGGATGAGCTGGAAATGGGAGCAGATGCCGCCAGGCACACCCTGAAGCCCCACGGTCCTGAGGCCTGAGCAACCCAGGCACCCTTGGCTGAGCTCCTGCCCCACCCTGCCCTCACCTTGCAAGGAGTGTCCATGCCCCTTCTGGGCACCTGCCCCAGGAGCTGGGCACCTTGCCCAAACTCTCCCGGCCCTGATGCCCTCATCGACCGGGCACCAACTCCCCTCCCCTGTGGGCTGCTCCAGAGCCCCCTGCTGTTGTCTGCTGTTTCCATGGTGATGTTGCCCCATGAGCCCATGACCTCCTGGATCACGGCCATTTGCCAGTGGATCCTGGTAGTCTAATGACAGGGCATGGGCCATGTGTTGTCGCCACCACAGCCTCGTGTATGTTATTTCCCCCCACCTGGACGGGGACCCCCTGCTCTGCCTGGTCCTGTTGTCGGCATGACTGTGTCCCCTCAGAGTCACACGGTGCAGTCTCCTCCCGGGGACGGTGTTAGGGTGGGGCCTTCAGGGAGGTGAGGAGGTCGGGGTGCAGACCTCATGAGTGGGGTTAGTGCCCTCTGCAGAGAGGCCCCAGAGAGCCCCATCACCCCTGCCACCACATGAGGACACAGCGAGGGGGTGGCAGTCTGCAACCCAGAAGAGGCCCTCGGACTGGCCTGGACCTTTCCAGCCTCCGGAGAAGTGAGGGATCAGCTGGTGGATGAGCCACGTGGCTTTTGTTACGGCACCCGGACAGGTGCGAAGGTGACTAAGACACAGCTGTACGGACCTGCTCATCCTCCCCTACGAGCTTGCCAGCTGTCCACTGAGGCCACGTGAGGGGTCCTTCCCCGACTAGCAGTGCCTTCATACTTCAGACTCCATGGTAGGTCCTGTGACCGAGTTCTCATGACAGACCACAGATGGGACATGGACAGCTGATGTCCACTCGCTTACCGGACATGATCAGTGCTAGACACCCCAGGAACCCCACTCAGAGGTGCCCGAGGCCCAGCTTCACCCCAGACGAGGACAGTGCCCTCAAGCAGACAGTCCTCACCATTCTGTGCTCTGAAATCTGGGGACAGCACGCACCCCTTCTCAGAAGGTCAGCAATGCATAGGGTGGGGGAAGTCAATTATATTGAAATACAATTATGAAGACATTAAATAAAATAATTGCGATATGCTAATCAACATGCTTCCTCATTAACATCTTAAGTGAGATTCAGAGGCAGATCTAATAACCTCATAATTCACAATTACTGATGAGCACGGTATTATTTTGAGACATCTGCAACAACTGTAAATGTGATATGAAAATATTCCCAACTTCTGCTGACAAGGCCCTCGTGGCTTGCTGCCAACATGAGTAATGGAAGGAAATGTTAAGTTTTACACACAGCTTAATGAAGATAAGATGCAAGCCTTTTCCCACTGAAGTTCACATCCCCTCCCTGCCGAATTCTAACCACAGGTTCTTTGGGGTCTGTGGGACCCCAGTTAAAACCCCTGCCTTGGGAGAAGATACGGCAGGATATAAGGACCCAGGGCCCTGAATCACACATGGGCCAGAGCTCAAACTCCTAGAATATTTGCCTTCCTGTGAAGAAGAAATAAACTCACATCTGCTGGAAGCCACTGTGGTCTGGTCTTTTCATCCTGATAATACAAGTTCCCAATTGTTCCCTTGGCTTCCCAGGGCCCTGATACAGTCAAGTATCCACCCCCCACCCCTACCCCCCCATAACATCAGGACACCAGTTCTAACACCCCATTGCTGCTTATGGCCCTTTTCTGCAACTGTCTAACTCCCACACTAGCCTAGGAGTTGCTGAGTACAGAAACACTGTTATGGCTTAGGCCTAGATGTCCCCTCAAAGCCTTATTCAATCTTAGATAGGGCTTTTTCAGAGGTGACTGAATCTAGAGTGTGTGATGCTGGGATTAAGGGTGTGCGATTACTAAATCAGTCCACTGACTGGTTTAGCACTGCCCTAATCCCAGTAGCCTAGATAGAGCATAAAAGGGCCAGAAAGATGCCTGTGTGAGGTGGTTGTTTTTGCTACCTTATGTCCACCACGAACTGTTTCTCCTCTGCAATGTGTGTCTGCTGTGCCATTCTACTTGGAGTCAGCTGCTTGTGGGCTGAAACCTTTGCAAACTGTGAGCTAAATAAACCTTTCCCTGCCTAACTTTGGATGTCAGGTATTTTGTCTCAGCAATGAGAAACATAATTAAGACAGAATTTGGTACCAGAGAAATGGGGCTGTTGCTAGGACATTACCTGGCTATGTGGCTCAAGAGCCTTTGCAGCTAGCTTGTGGAAAGGGAGTGAGTTAGGAAAGGCTTAGAGATGCCAGCTGAAAAAGTAGAGCTGGAATGTCTTAGGCTGAACTGGATGGGAGATTCTGATCAGAGCTCAGAAGACCAAAAAAAAAAAACGGTAAAGACCAGGCTCAGGAAATTTCTGCTGTGAAGAACTGCAATGGCTGTTGGACTCCAGATGATATATATTATGCCTTGACAGAAAGTTTGTCTGCATTTTGCTCATGTCTAGAGAGTTTACTTGAGCCTGAGAGTAAGGGTGGCAGACTAATTAATCTGGCAGAAGAAATTTCAAGGCAATCTAATGTTGAGGCAGTGGAATGGCTACTATTGGAAGCTTTTAACCAGATTTATGTTGAGAATCAAGAGCAAAGAGCCCAGCAGAATGATTTAAAACATTTTGAGTTTGGCCAGAAAGGAAGCTCCAATAAAGTTATGGACTGCAAAGATAGACCAGAGGAGATCTTACATGCTGAGAAGGAACAATAAAAAAGATGGCCTGAGGGAATGACAAAAGCAGCAGGACTCCACCCCTTGCAGCTTCACAATTGCAAAAGTGGAAGACTGCTTTGAGGAGAGAGTCCCAGAGCACCATGTTGCAAAATGGCAGCAGCCTAGGGAAATTGTTCCTCAAGATTTGGTTCACAGGCACTCAACCCCTATAGCCAAGAAAGAAGGAAGCCTGGCTGCTGCTCCAGCTGGTGGCAGACCTTAGCATCATTCATGTGGTGCTGATTTTTGGCACATGCAGAATGCAAGAGTTGTAGGGTCAGGCAGGCTTCCATCTAGATTTCAGAAGAAGGTCTGGGAGGCCAGGCTGTGTGCCCCTGACAGGGCAGTGTGTGAAGCTGAGCATGTGAAACCAAAGGTAAAATGGAGACTCTAGAAGTTTGGAGAAGCCAGAAAGGTGGATCATCTGAGGAAAACTGCAAGGAGAGAGCAGAGCTGGCCCAAGAGAGAAGCCGTGGGACCTACAACCAGAAGTGCCATAGGGGTGGAGCCACCCAAGCCCTTTGGAGTTCACATCTTGCCACAGATTGCCTGGGATGCTTGCGGTACATGGAAGTATACAACTTAATGTTCACCCTGCTGGATTTTAGACTTGGCTTTGGTCCCATTTTTTTTGTATCCCCCTATTTGTACCTTTTGGAATGCAAATGTCTACCTGGTGCCATTGAATGTTGGCAGTGTCTAACTTCCTTTTCATGTGTACAGGGGCTTGCACCTTGGAGTTTGCCTTAACTCTCAGTGGAGACTTTGGACTTGGACTTTCCAGCAGTGCTGAAACTGTTAGGACTTGGGCAACTCTCAGAGATGGACCAATGCCTTTGCAAAAAGGGATGTGCATGAGTCTTTGTGGGGCAGGGGCAGAATGTTATGGCTGTGTCCAGATGTCCCCCAAGCCTTATGCTGTTTTAGATGGGGCTTTCTCAGAAGTGTCTGAACCTAGAGTGTGTGAGCTGGGATTAAGGGTGTGTGATAACTAAATCAGCCCACTGATTGGTTTGGCACCACCCTAATCCCAGCAGCCTGAATAGAGTGAACAGCACAGAAAGACATTGTTAGGGTCCCTTGTTGCTTGGCTACTTTCTGCCCGACGCAGACTGTTCCTCCTGTTCCTCCTCTGTGACACCTGTCTGCTGTGCCTCCCTGCCTTGGGGCCAGTCAGTTATGGACTAAAACGTCTACAAACTGTGAGCTAAATAAATCTTTCCTCCTTTGACTTTGGGTGTTGGGTATTTTGTCTCCGCAGGGGAGAGAGAAGTAACTAAGACAAACACCAAGCTGTGTGGTGAAGATTTGCCTGAAACAGAGAAGCAGTTGTGATTTAGTAATTCTGGTGCCCCTGCCACAGACAGCAGGGCACATTGCTGAGCACCGAGCCCACAGCCAGCTCCCAGCAAGCTTACAAGGTGGGCTCTAGACGTAGTGTGATCAAAAAATATGGTGATGCTTAAATTTAACAAATTTATTACAGTAAAGGCCACAGTGCCATTAACCCCCTGAAAACACTTCCTCTACTTCACACACACTTATCCTATTACTCTTGCCACTTTCTGAAGCAGTTCTGGAAGTTCTGTTTCATGTCCTTAGTTGTGCTGTTGTCACTGCCTTGTTGTCCTGAATTGATTCAAAACTGTTACCACCTTTGATGGTCATTTTGACTTTGGGGAAGAACCAGAAGAGGCACAGTGCTACATATAGTGAATAAGGTGGATGAGGACACAGCATCATGTTTTCATGAGCCAGTTTTTCTGGTGGACAGTACTTGGCAGAAGCACTCACCATATTTTTTATCACACTTCATAAAGATACTCAAGAAAGATAACTTTCATGTTTTAGAAAGTGGCAAGAATGATGGGATAAGTGTGTTCAAAGCAAGAGAGAGTATTTTGAGGAGGACTAATGGCAATGTGTCTTTTACTGTAATTTTTAAAAATGTAAATATTCACTGTATATTTCCATCGCACCTTGTATTATCCTCCTGAGACCAGAGAGGACACAGAGGCTCTGAAAGGCCCATGACCTTGCCCAAGGTGCTGGCATCAGTGAGGAAGCAGGACTGGAGCTGGGCCCTGGGCTCTCAGGGGACGACAGCAGCCCTGCTGTCCTACCTTGATGATGATCTTCTCCCGCAGCTGGCTGGGCGAGGGCAGCTGGTCGGCGCTGGCCTCCGTGGGCTTGGTCAGCAGCAGCTCGCCAAGCACCTCCTTGAACATCCTGGCCATGTGCCGCTGCTGCTCCACACTGCAGTGCTCCTCGATGGACAGGATCACGGGGAAGCTGCAGCGGCAGGGCGGGTCGGCTGGGGTCGGCCAGGCGCTGTCCCCATGCCCTGCCTGACTGCAAATGCCTGAGCCAAGCCACAGCCCGGGGTGGGGGTCGCCCACCTGTCCCACGTGCCCCAGGACTCAGTTTCCACTCACCACCTACCTGCTGCGGTGCTGAGCACTCAGGCAAGTCATCCCAATTAGACGTCTAATTGGGATGACTTGCCTGAGTGCTCAGCACCGCAGCAGGTAGGTGGTGAGTAATTAACAGAGCACTGGTAATTAACAGAGCTGGGTTCAAACTCAGAGAGAGGGATCCCAGAACCCATTCTGCTAGGCGCTATCAGGAGTGCTTAAGAGGCCACTGTCACTCTACAGAGAGCCTCCTGCCAGCCCTTGGCAATGACTTTGGCTAAGATGGAGCCCAGGGCTCTAGTGTCTGGGGAAGTGGCGGTGACATGCGTCTGTCTGTCTAACCCCGGCTGCTCTCCCTTAACGGCAAACCACCCGGAAATCAGCCGACTGACCTCGAGGTGACGAAGGCGTGGTCTCTGATGGCCTGCACGACATCATCGAACTTGATCTTGGTGGTCCGCGTCCAGCCGTGGTAGATAATGGGCTTCCCGTCGGGCCCATCCCAGCAGTCCACTAGGGGAAACACGGCAGCCTCAGCCCCTGCAGGCGGGTCCGCCCGACTCCCCCAGCTCAGTACCAGGATCACTCGGGCGACCACCATGAGCATGCCTGTGCTCTCCCTGTGCACACACCGTCACTGTGCACTGACATGGCGCCGAGCATTTCTCCACGAGAAACAACCGCCGGGGTCGCTTTGGTAACCAGATACTTATGAGGTGTTTTGTTTTATGATTTCCGCTGTTTAAACCTTGGCTTCCCTTTTTTGCCCATGGAAATAATAGAGAAATGAGAAATATTTTAAAGTCTGAGTAAAATATTCAAACAGAAATAAATGGTGGGAAACAATCCGAAGATTTTCAACCCCCAGAGGAAACAGGAGCTGACAGTTTCTCACTTCATGTTTGCACGTTTGCTTTCTCCTTTGGGTAAGAACACAGATTAGGGGGAGTGTGTGGAATAACTGCTGCTAAACTTGGATGCCACGATGAGCATTTCTGCCAGTGCTGGAGCCTGGCCCATGTTCGTGCCTCATTTCAGCCAAGTACATTTGGGTCAGTGTCCCCCAAAGGGCCTGTGTTGAAGGCCTGGTCCCTGGGGTGGCACTCAGGGCAGGGGCCTTTGGGAGTTGGGGCCTCATGACAGGTTGTTAGGCCACTGGGGTGTCATCAGGTCACGTGTCCTTGAAGGGGAGCCTGGGCTTTCCCTTTTCTCTTTCTCTTCTGCCCCCAGCTCTGGACAGAAGGAAGTTTGCTCTGCCTTGCTTGCCGCCATGAAAGCTGCACCAGAGAAACAAAGCACTGGGCCTCAGATCCAGAACTGGGAGCCAGAATAAGTCCTTCATCGTTGTAAGCTCATATTGCAGGTATGTTGTTGTAGTGACAGGAAGCTAACTGATACACCCCTGGGAGCCTTTGGTGACAGGGGAGGCTGGAAGGGAAAGAACCGAGGAGGGGATGAGAAGGGAGGATGGCAGCAGGGTCCACGCACAGAACCCCCACCCCGTGCCGGTGCCATGCAGAACCTGGGCACCCCAGGAACCAGTGCAAACCTCGCACATGCTGATTACCTTCCTCTGAAGACAGAGGGGTGAGGAGGAGGCAGCAAGCCCAGCTGCCCACTGCATCAGGACTCTGGACGCCATGGCCACTGCCTGGCCCGGTTCGAGGCACCTCTCTTTGTCTTAGGGACAGCTGTTTCTAGGGGAAAGTTCTTGGCCACATCCCTCAGTCCAGATACCACTGGCACCCAGTCTCCCTCAGCCTGTCCTGCCCACCCCCAACATCCGGGCCTTTTACACAAAACAGCACTAAGCAGCTCCAGAGCCCTGCACCTCCATTCACAGCGTTGTTCCCACCAGCCATAGGTACTCACGCTCAATGCAGCGGCAGCCCATGCGCAAGCAGCGGATGTAGGCTTCTGTGGACGACTCGCTGCGCAGCTGGTCACCTGTGAGGTACCTGAGGGAGACAGGTCAGGGGGTCATGTGGGCAGGTGGCTTAGGGGAACTTTGCAGTCCAGGCCTCCTGAGTTCTTCCTGCTCAGAAACACCCAAGGCTAGGATCTGGGTCAGACGCTGCAACCTCCTGGCTATGCTGGTCATGGGGCACCTGCAGGACATGGCCAGTGACCACCCTGGCCAGCCAGGTATAGGCTCAGAACAGCGCACTCTTTCTACCAGAACCTGGTCAAAGTGCGTCAGGAGTGAGGAAGACCAGACAAGAAATGAACGAGCCCATGGCTGCCCCCCAGGCCCTCAGCAGAAGCAGAGATGGGCTTGTATTGTGCCATTGGGCCTGAGGCTGGCACAGAAAGGCACTGTCTTAGTTTCTTTTCTCATTACTGGGACCAAATACCTGACACTCACTAGTTAAAGGAAGAAAGGCTTATTTGGCTCACAGTCTGTAGAGGTTTCAGTCCTCAGTTGACTGGCTCCAAGGCAGGGTGGCATGGCAGAGGGGCATCATGGAAAAGAAACAGCTCATGGTGTGGAGTGCAGAAGGCAGAAGGCAGCAAGCAGCAGCAGCAGAAGCAGCAAATAGCAACCCTGCCTTTCCTCTGTCCTTTTATGTTCCAACCAGGCTACATGCTTTTTGGTTGGTCCCACTCAGAACTATGCTATTCTAATCAGTGGACGAATTTAGTACCTCACACCTTAACTCAGCATCACACTCTTAATCCACATTCACACCCTAGATCCAGCCACCTCCAAAAGCCCCACCTATGAGTACATGAGGCTTTGGGGGGACATCTAGACACAAGCCATACCAGGCACCCAACAACCACAGGCGGGATATATTACACTGTGAATGCTGTCCACCAAACTGCCATAAAATACTTGTGTTTCTGCACTTGCCTCCACCCATTGCCCCCTCTATAAGTGTCAGGTTCCTTAAGCATCTCCGAGGTTGGGCAGAATCCACCATCTTAAGACACAAACTCTTGAAAGAATGGACGTGGTGAGGAAGAGAGAACCGTGAAATCAATTTGCCCCTGAAAGAGTCTACCTGTCCAGATCCCTGAGGACGCATGCGCAAGGGCCTTCCCCCAGGCCTGCCTGTGAGGACACTGGGAGAGCACCGCCCACAGCCTGCTCACCAAGGACTCATCCTCCCTGCCCTATAAGGCAGGCTAAATATCGGAACCTGAGTGCACCGTCCTTCCTCCCCTCCAGTCTGCCCTCTTTCTTGCAATCACTGTAATCACCTACACAGTCAACTTGAGTGTGGTGCTCCCTGGTTGAACACAGTCGCAATGGGGCCATGCTTTGCATGTCTCACTGCCAGGTGACTTGAACCACCAGTGGAACATGCACTACTGTACCACTTCCACCACGAGCAGTACAAGCTGCCTGATGTGACAGTCATGCACATACCATCACTGGTTCAAGCCCATAGGAATATGTTAAAAGCTGACAGTGGCTCCTCATTGCCCTGTGACATATAAGCTCCCACCCAAGCTGGCTATGCAGCCGACTCTTTTTTTGTGCTGCCCTCCAGCCTTATAGACACCCCCCTTGGCTGCCCCTACCCCAGGACCTTTGCACCATTGCTCCTCTCTCTGAAACTCTCCTCCCTCTCCACTTCACGCCATTCTCCTGCCACCAGCTCCTCCTATCAGACACTCAGTAGAGCCTTGTTCACTGCTACACCCCCAGCAGACACATCATAAGCCTCAGTTCCACAGCTACTTGCATTGCTTTGCTGTGGCCCCTGTGAGATGCCCACCTCTGAAGGAGCAGGCAGGCTGACTTTCTTTTTAGGGCCACAGACAAGGGACTTTTATTCCACCACTTCCTGGGAGAGGAGGCTATGTCCCCACCCCCTCCAGAAGCTTCTGTGTCCCCCAGTGTGGAGGAAGTGGTTCACACTGCACCCTTCACGACAGGCCTTGCCAGGCACCACCGTGGGGCACCAGCTGCATCACCCTTGATGCCACCCAACCCACCCCAGGCTCTCGGTAGAACTCACGTGTTGTGGGACGAAGAGATCCAGTAATGGGACAAGGGGTTGTTCATGTCCTGCATGTCCACCACATCGTGCTTCCCATCCCAGATGCTGTTTTCTCGGGAAAACAGGTACATGAGGAACTGCAAGAGTCACAGATGGGACTGTGGTGGTGATGGCAGCGACGTCTGCTCCAAGCCACATGGGAGAGGGCAGCATGAGAAACCCAGAGGTGGCCACCTGACCTCGGTGACCCAGGATTTCAGGGTGGCTCAGACCACCATAGGCCTCAATGACACATGTTTCAGGGACCTGGACAATCCTTTCCTTTCCTAATGTTTATCCCAAAATATCTGATTCTGCAAGGTATCCGCTTCCTGTACAGCAGTTTTAGTCATAACACTAACATTGGCATTTGTGGATCCACCACCCGATGGAAGAAACCGAGCATCACCCAGAGCACAGCATCAAAGGGCTGGAAGTTTCTCACCCCAACTTCGAGCCCCTTTGCAAAAAAAATGAGAAGCCTGAGTGACGTGGGGTCACAGCCTGCTGATTGGGCACAGGTTCCCCCGGGACCTCCCAGAGGGGGTCCCCACTTCTCTCCATCCCGCTGCCTACCCAAGGTCCAGTGCAGACATTTCCCCCACTCTTGGGCACCCAGGAACCTGCATTTTCTATGTAAAGGTTCTACTCTCCATGGTGGCAGACGCCCTCTAGTGGCCAAATCTAGAACCCCACTGTGGAAAACGTGGTCAAAAGAGAAGACCCAGCTGGGAAAAGCCAAGACCTGGAAAAAGCACCCCTGATGGAGCTGGTCAAGGGACTCTGACAGCAACGCCCTCCAAGGGAGGAGCCAGAAATAAACCTCGGAAGACACAGGCTTCAGAGAGCCCAGCACTCACCTCGTCCACAAACAAGAAGGGCTCAGCCGTCTCCCTCATGGTGTCGTCAATAAACTTTGTCATCTGCTCCCGGACTTTGTTTACATCCTGAGCCCAAAGCTCCTGAAAATAACAAAGAGAACAAGAAATCACCAAAAAGAGAACAGACCCAATTCCTCATCTCTCAGGGTCCATCCAGCTGCAATCAAAGAACAAACCATCAGCCAGTTCTGAATTCAGTGGCCAACAAGTGTCACATACAAAGGCCTCATCCTGGACATGGCCTGTGCAGGTGTCAGCAAATGTTTCCTGCAGAGGACCAGAGAGTGAGTATCTCAAGGAACCTGTGCAACCACACATCCCTGCAGGGCGGAGCCAAGGCTGCCACAGCCAAGACATGGGCTGAGTTCCAATAAAACTTTATTTACGAACACAAGTGGCCGCACTGGGCTGTGGCTATGGTTTACCAACTCCTACCCTACACCAGCTCATGACATCTGTATGAAGCACTAGGGAGGACAGTGGTTACGCCGGCCTGTCAGGGTCACTTGCTTGGCCTCTATTCTCACCAAGGGCGCCCCTGTCAAGTTACATGACTTCTTTGGGCCGCCTCAGCCTTGAAACAGGACTAAAAGCATTTACTGCACAAGGCCTCTGCAGGGGGCTATGTGAAATAAGCCCATGTGCTTAACTCAGAGCCTGGTACACACACAGCTCCCAAATTATTATAGACAGCTAAGTTAGGTAGAAATATTCTAGGCAGTCAGACAGGGCTGGGCCCTCCAAGGAGTCAGTGCAGAGGATGAGAACACATCACAACTGTGGCTGCAGCTGCATCTGTCAAAGGCAAGGCCTCAAGATAAAGCCAGAATGACAAGCATTCATACCTCCCCAGGGGATAAGATAATCAGAATCACCTGGTCCAATAAAGTCTAGACACACATCAGTTACCTGGGTGGGTGACCAGGACCTGGTGTTCTTATTCTTGCTAAAAATGTCTTTGCTCTCTCCATGTACACTTGCTACATGTCCTGCTTCCCCAGTGGATCAACATTACCTGAACAGCTAAATCTTATTGGTTGATCATAGTTTTGACCCACATTGTGCCCACCTCGTGATTTTGCTATAGAACTTCCTTTGAGAAGTGAGCTTGTTGGCAACCCACTTTCAGATCCCCTCCCGCCCTCAGAAGCTATCTCTTTCAATGAATTTTTCCTACTCTTCACCTCAATTGTTCCTTAGAAGTCATTCTTCAATTTGGGGGAACACGAACTCGGGGTATCTGACATCTAGCCGGTCGGGAGTTACATATTATTTCCCCTGTATCACTCCCATCTCATCCGCCCAGAGTGCTGCGATCACAGGCGTGGGCCACCGTGCTGGGTCGAAGGGCAGCCACTCAATCAAAGTGCACACACGTTTTCTTAAAGTTTTCCTTTTAACCACATAGAGCCAGAGTGCTTTCTAGAAAAGTACTAATCTGCAGAATGGTGCTGCGATGGCCGTTCCCAGGAGCACCCGCCACCCCAAAGGGCACAGAGACGCTCACTCAGGGGCTGCCCTGGGCTTTTCTGGGCCCCCTGACCTGGCTGCCCAGTTTGGTGGGCTGCGATTCTCTCTGGAATAAAGTTCCTCACCACGAGGTGGCGCCAAACCCGCACCTCAGGCCCGCCTGCAGGCGGCGCGCTCCTTTCCTGAACAAGGCTGCTCCTTTCCGGGAACCGCAGCCTGCGCGCGACGCCCACCCAGGGCCGCAGAGAGGTCAGCCCTGTCATCTAAGCGCCTGCGCTGGCCTCGGGTTCACTCGGGACCCACGCAGGGACGCGGGCGCCTCACTCAGCGCGAGGGCGCACGGGAGGCAGCGCACGCACGGTGCCAGCGGCTCCGAGCCTGGCCGGGCCCTGCGCGCATCGAGGCCGGTCACGGGTGGGTGCACAGGAGCGTGTGCGGGTGGACAGGTGAGGCCCCACCCGGGGGACTGCGCGTCACAGACTGAAGGGGGCCAGCCTGGGTTTCCTTAGGGTTCCCCAGCAAAGGAAGGGAGCGGGGAGACAGGCGGGCGCAGTCAGACTGCGACATCGGATTCCCACATCGGGAGGCTGACGATCCCTGCCTGTCCACTTTCGTGTGTGCGTGAAATGTCCGGCAACACAG